GGATAGCCGCTCTGAAAAAGGCGTTGAGCTCGTCCTACGCAATGAAGGACCTCGGCTCTGCAAAGCAGATTCTCGGAATCAAGATTATCCGAGATAGACAAAAGAAGCTACTGTGGCCGAGTCAAGATAAGTATATTGAGAAGATTCTGAAGAGATTCAGCATGGACAAAGCCAAAACAGTGATCACCCCCCTAGCCGGACACATAAAGCTGAACCAGAAGCAATGTCCGAGATCTGATGAAGACAAAGATGAGATGCTGAAGGTCCCGTACCAATCCGTCGTCGGAAGCTTGATGTATGCAATGGTTTGCACTAGACCCGACTTGGCATATGTTGTTGGAATGGTAAGCCGGTATCTGTCAAACCCTGGCAAAGAGCACTGGGAAGCAGTGAAGTGGATCTTCAAGTACCTTCGAGATACGACCAACTTATGCCTCCGATTTGGAGAAAGCAAAGCCGAGTTGCAAGGCTACTCGGATTCTCATTTAGGGGGAGATTCCGACTCGAGGAAATCGACGACGGGATACATGATGAGATTTGCCGGAGGAGCTGTCTCTTGGCAATCAAGACTTCAGAAGTGTGTTGCACTATCGACAATCGAGGCTGAGTACATTGCCGCTACTGAGGCAAGCAAAGAGATGTTGTGGATGAAGAAGTTCCTCATGGAACTCGGCCATGATCAAGACAAGTACGAGCTGGGTTGTGACAATCAAAGCGCAATCCATCTTGCGAAGAATTCAACCTATCACTCCCGCACTAAGCACATTGATGTGAGGTATCACTGGATCCGAGATGTGGTGGAAGGTGGAGAGCTCGAACTCGTCAAGGTGCACACTGACCAAAATTGGTCCGACATGATGACAAAGTCGGTTCCAGCAAAAAAATTTGAAGACTGCTGTGAAGGAGCCGGGTTGATGCTGAAGCCGACGCATTGAAGTCGGAGGGAGAGATTTGTTGGGCTTCCTCCTTCAATGCTAAGCCCAAGCCCATTGAGGGATTTCCCAAAAACCCTAAACCTTAAACCCTAAATTCCACATCCTCTATATATTCATTAGTTGAGGGTGGAGGCTAGGTTAGAGATTGAGAGAGAAAAAATTGAGAGAAAATTATTTGAGAGATTTGAGCAAAGCTTTATGCTTTGTATTTGAGAGATCTCTAGAGAGAGTTTGAGTGAAACATCTCTAGGGTATTTTGATTATCACCATTGTTGGAGAGGTTGAGTTAACCACCACATTGGTGATTCTGATTATTTGTAACCATTATTTTCATAGTGGATTTTTGATCTGGACTAGGTCCCATGGGTTTTTACTTCTTCATCGAAGAAGGTTTTCCCACGTTAAAATTGCTTGTGTTCTCTCTCTCTCTCCTTCTCCTCTCTCTCTTATTTGTGTTTTTGATTTTCCGCTGCGCCGACTTGGTGAAATTCAGGCCGAGGTATTGCCGAGATCCGAGATCAGGATCTTGCTGTCTGACTTCCGCAAAAGGCTTTAGAAGCCGAGTTTGAGGGAATCGAGTTCCCAACAGATGGTGGCTGTGATAATGGTAGTGGTGCAAAGTAATTGAGAGAGACAAATATTTCTCATTTTGTCTCAAGGAACAAAACAAAACAGAAATTTTTTTGGTTCTTTTTTCTGTTTCCTAGCACAAAAATTAAATCAGTTCATCCAGGGAACAAAAAAATAAGTCGATTTTATCAAACGAGTTTTCTATCTATTTCTATTCTCGGGAATAGAAATGAAAAAAAAAACTGATTTCGAGAAGATTGTCATGCACACCCTTAGTATTTTGGGTTTAATTTTTTTGAATGTATGACAAACAATTGAGAATTAATCATTTATACACATACACATGGGGAGCTTCAACTTTCACAAATGTAAGAATGTCTTATATTCAATTTAGTCATTGATTTTGTTTAAATCTAAAGCTTTAATTTATTAATCACGTGAGTGGGTCAATATTACAACCATGCAAACCATCAAGACGATAATCAAATAATCAACTCGAATCTTGAAGTACTTTTTTTTGTTTTAGTACAAATCTTGAAATACTTTATTAATGCCATTTATGCAAAACACTAAATTGATATTCCCATCATTAATTATCCTTTGTCATAAAGGAACATTGGAGGAAGGCACATGAATAATTTTATTATATGGGTTTTTTTATATCTCTTTCAGCCCAATTTGAACTTTTGGCCCAGTAAAATGCAAAGGCAACAGAGGACCCTAATATAAGAATACTGCACCCAATGAATTTTGCAATATTCAACCTTGTAGTCACCCCTCTAACACAATACATTCGAACCAGAGGCGGAATTAGGGGGCTACGGCCCCCCTAAAATTTAAAGGAAATTCTTTTTATATAGGTAAAATGGCATTTTGGTAAATTATGAGATTATTTGTTTTAAAAGTTATAAACTGTGTGAGTAAAATCCTTTTAAGGGTTTTATTTTTCTCATGTTGTAGGAGAGAAGTTATCTTATATTGTGAGATAAATTAAATGAGATTCACCAATTTAAAAAAATAAAATAAAAAGCACGTTTTTTTACGTGAATGTAACCTATAGTAAAATCTCAGGTAACATAAAAGTATAATTTTCTTTTTTTGTAAAGGCTTTACTTGTCATCTTCATTCTGCAAACCGAAACGGAGTTGCCCCTGCTTCTCCTTGTAGGGTGTGTTTGATACCAGACTTTTTTTTAGTTTTCTTGGAAAGCATCACGGGGAGAATAACAATACCATGTTTGGTATAAAAAACATTAAACTTTTCCAGATAATTTTTTTTCCGGAAAATAGTTTGTGTGTGTGATTTTATGTACTGTTAGTATCATTGGAATACTATAGATTAGATAGAATTTATTCTCTACTACATTCCAGTAATAATTATTTCTCAGACAAACAAAAATTTCTCCTCTGTCAACTGTCTCCTAAAAGCCGGCAAAAGAACCGTACTAAGAACTTTTTGTGAAAGATTTTTCAACCAAAAGCATGTTTGATAAGTTTTGCCGGACTAGTGCAGTCAAACACGTCAAAAGGAATGACGAAACCAGTCCTGTCACGTATTGTTACGGGACAACTGGTCCACGTCAGAATTTGCAAGCAATCCCGTAGAAGGAGCTGACGACACCCAATCCCGTCAGAAACATTGACGACACTTTAACTCCACGTCAGCCAATCCCGTCACACTCAATAACAGAACTAGTGAAATAAAACAAAATGAATCCCGTCAATGTATTTGACGTATCTAATTATATTCATTATGTTCACACCACCTGCACATTGTGTATCATTAAGTTTCTAAAATATTATATAATATCATCCATGTTAAATCAACACAAGATGTACCCACCCTAAAAATTTAAAAACAAAACTTTATCGTATTATGTACTTTTAAATTTTGTATTTTATGTATTTATACAAGAGATTTTGACACAATTTTATTTGTATGTATTTATATATATTTTATATTTTAATTAAAATTCACATTTTATTATTAATTGTATTTTATGTATTTATATAAGAAATTTTGACACAACTTATGCTTATATCATGAGAACAAACAAAATTAAATATATTAAATATACATTTTATGAATTTTAATTATCATTTCATTTATGTTTTTATTTTATTTTATTTTAATAATAAAAAAAATATTTTAAATTTTTACTATGTAAATACATAAAATACAATTAGATATATAAAATGTGCCTATCAATGTAGAAAACAAGTTAAATCCAACACCATGTTATTTAAATCCAACCATACTATGCAGGTCTATCATTGAACAATATGCATTTACTTAGATACCGTCAATTACATTGACGGAATTCATTTTAAAATATTTTTTTATTTTTAAAATAAAATAAAAAAATGAAATGATAATTAAAATTCATAAAATTTATATTTAATATATTTTAATTTTATTTGTCCTGGTGATATAAGCATAAGTTGTGTCAAAATTTCTTATATAAATACATAAAATACAAAATTTAAAAGAACATAATACGATAAAGTTTTGTTTTTAAATTTTTAGGGTGGGTACATCTTGTGTTGATTTAACATGGATGATATTATATAATATTTTAGAAACTTAATGATACACAATGTGCAGGTGGTGTGAACATAATGAATATAATTAGATACGTCAAATACATTGACGGGATTCATTTTGTTTTATTTCACTAGTTCTGTTATTGAGTGTGACGGGATTGGCTGACGTGGAGTTAAAGTGTCGTCAATGTTTCTGACGGGATTGGGTGTCGTCAGCTCCTTCTACGGGATTGCTTACAAATTCCGACGTGGACCAGTTGTCCCATAATAATACGTGACAGGACTGGTCGTCATTCCTTTTGACGTGTTTGACTGCACTAGTCCGGCAAAACTTATCAAACATGCTTTTGGTTGAAAAATCTTTCACAAAAAGTTCTTAGTACGGTTCTTTTGCCCCTAAAAGCCACTTTTATTGTTTTCTCCGAAACTCTTTGCACATGCTTCTTCTGCTGGGGACGCTGACAATATCTTGGTGGGCGAGGACGCTTCTTCTTCAAAGCCACTCCTTGTTCTCTTCACGAGGTGATTTCTTTTTTTCGTTTTCACTGTTTGTTCCAGTTAACAAAAAAAAAATAGAATGGATTGCAGAACTGGTTATCTCCAACTAAAAATATTAAATTTTGTTTGCTTATTTAGTGAACCAGCTGGCAGTGGTCGTTTTGAATTTAATACATTTGTTATCGAAGGATTTAGAAATTGAAAAAAAAGTTAATAAGTCTGAAAGTACTTTTATTTATGATTTAATATTTTTTATTTTCACTCCCTTTCGTTAAAATTCTTGGCTCCAGCACTACTTCGAACCAATAAGGCCAAGGCCACGGGAAAACAAGAATAAAGTGGAAATTGAAATGAGGTTGGCCAGAATATCAAGGCTTGTGAAAAACGCAACAATCACATACGAAGTGGAACATAGACAACAATATATAGCCATCAACATGAGTGAAAAATCCTGCTACATATTGTTTTCATGTTTTTTACCAGACCCTATCATAGAAGTATCACCATTTTCTTCATCTAACTTCAGCTGAGTCTTGATCTCTGGTTCCTTCTCCTCGTTTTGTGCCTTTGCCATGTCATAAGATGCATGTAATCCTACAAACAGGTAATACACTAACAGAATTGCAGTCCACACACCAAATCTTTTAAATGAAGCGATATCTAATGATCCAAGAAGGAAAACATTGATGGCAATCGATGCTGATGGCAAGAATGGCACTAGTGGCACACCCCAAATCTTTGGCTTCTTCGCAAGTGGAACCAAAAGCCAAATCCCAACCGTTCCCACAATCCAAAGAGGCACAAATATAGTATAACCAACCCAATTTGAACTTTTGGCCCAGTAAACTGCAGAGGCAACAGAGGACCCTAGTATAAGAATAATGCACACGATGAATTTTGCAATATTCAACCTTGTAGTCACCCCTCTAACACAATACCTTCGAACCAATAAGGCCAAGGCCACAAGGGAAAACAAGAATAAAGTGGAAATTGAAAGGAGGTTAGCAAGAATATCAAGGCTTGTGAAAAATGCAACAATTGCGGTGGCAACAGACATAACAACCGTGGCATTAATAGGTGTCCCAGTTTTTTCATTTACTCTTGCAAGCCATGGAGGCAACAAATGAGTTCTAGCAATGTGTGTAAGATACCTTGCTTGACCCACTGCTCCAACAAGGAGAACACTAGTCATTCCTTTTAATGCTCCAAATGCTACAATGTACTTAGCCCAACTCATCCCAACAGCTTCAAATGCTACTGAGAAAGCAGCATTTTCATCAACCTCGGTATATTTTTGCATTAGGCAAAGTGTCATTGATAACAAGCAATATAAAAGTGTAGTAATTGCCATTGAGCCTACAAGACCAATAGGAATGTCTCTTCCAGGGTTCTTTGTCTCCTCTGCCATTGTTGAAACTGCATCAAATCCAACATAAGCAAAGAATAACACTGCAGCAGATTGGAAGATCCCACGGGCACCAAAAGGAACAAAATCAGAGAAGTTTCTGGTATTTGCTTTGGTTAGGCCAGCAACAATGATGAATAGGAGGACAAGAAAATGAACTATTGAGGTAATGTAGTTGATGTTGGGTTTGCTCTTTTACTAAAGCCCAAATGGGTTATTAGTATGAGAAGAGCCCAAGGAACCTAGAGCCCAATGAGCTAGGGTTTCTTGGAACCCATATAAATAGTACCTCTTAAGTCATCAGCCTCCTAGGTCTTTTTTGTGAGAAAGAGGCAAGATCAGAATCTAATCAGTGCCCACACACTTCCCCTTCCTCCTCGAGAGATAGTTTGGAAGATCTGCCACAGTCCAGCTTCAAGGAGGTTGTTCGTGCTGCGGCGCTGAGGTGAGCTGTTCGTGAAGAGAAATCCTACAAGGGTAGATTCTACACGAGACCTGCGCACCGAGAGGTAATTGTGAAACAAGGATGATTCAGTAAGCATACCAATGTACTAGGTCCTAAACTGTTTCCGCATAAATCTAAGATATCCTTCAATTGGTATCAGAGCCTTGGCTGTACATTGGTATGTGAATCTAGTTTCACTATTCATGTAATTAGTTTTGCTTCTTGAAATGTGGCACCTAGGGTTCTAGGATTATGGTATGAATCTAGCATGTGTATTTTATAATTCATTTTCATAAAAGTTTAAATTTTAATCGGTAAAAATGCTTTAATCCATGGTTAGGATCTCTCGTGTATTTCTCGATTTGTAACAAGGAGGCTAATCCCATATGATTAGGTTTCCTCCTTGCTGTTTTTGTTTATTTTTGGAATTTCTGTGTATTTTTCCAATATTTTGTAAAAGTTCAAGATCGAGAAACCGCGAGTAAGATGCGCAGTCAGTACTGTCGGAGACTTTTCGAGGTCTTCCCGATCTCGGAATGAGGCGATCTATATATGGTTGGAAAGAGGACGGAAAGACGAACGCAACGGTGGATGGATCGCCTCCATCGGAGGCTTCACGCTCCTCCACGCGCTTGCACAAGCGGCTGAGAGTGGCCGCCACTCTCCGGCAAAGAATGGGAGAGTGAGGGAGCGTCCAGCCACCTTTTTGGGTGGTTCCGGTGGCGGTGCACTCGTCTCTACGTGGTGATCCTTCCCCTGGAGTTTCAGCGTGATTTGACTTCGGGTGACGGCGCGACAGACCTGACGGCTAGGGTTCCTCTTTCGCGTCCTAGGGTTTCTCGCCAAAGGATTGGGTCTTTGGGCTTTTGGGCCCATGAAACCCTAAAGGGGCTTGAGACAGATACTATGGGCTAGGCGAAAGTCGAATTCCAAAGTTGTATTATTTAATTTAATTTAATTTAATTTTGTTTAGAATAGGAAGGCCATGGATTAAAGTAATTATGATTTATTATTTAATGCTTTTATTGATTGGTATAAATTATATGATTGATAACATGCTTTATTGCGATAACATGCCATATAGAATAGGTGGTGCCATATTGTTGCATAACTTGTATGATTGCATGAGCATAATAGCTATTATGTCTTCAGCGACTAGTATGATAGTTATTATGGGATTATTTTGATTTTAAATCATCCTAAGAAATTAATTAATAATTATTATGATTTTTATTAAAAATCTAGATTAATAATTGAATTAATTAATTTTGGATAATTAACATCAAGACAAATAATCGTTATGGAAATTATTTTGATTTCAAATTATCCTCATAAATGATAATTATTATGATTGTTGCAATCTAGATTAATAATTAAGTCAGCTATTTGGATGATTTAAATCTAGAAAAATAATTAGAGAAAATTTCCTAAGAGTATTATTTTATTTTGCGAGTAATTTGTGGGTTTTCTGAAATGGTCATGGAATAACACACGCTGCATACAACATTCATGTATCATGATTGTTTGGAGCACACGCTGACGTAAAGTGACCGGATTTCAGGACCTTAATGCTTTCAAAATTATGTTAAGCTTAGTGCACGTTTATCGGCGCTATTACTTATATAGTTTTTGAAATCAAACAAAGAATACTCTCAATTAAATAATTCTTGGAAATTAGAAAATGTTGCTTATGTTGAATGGAAGGAGATTTAAATTAAGAGATTAATTTAACCTTCAAGCGCATTATAGGACCATTAATAAAATAATCATGTGAAGTCCCATCGAATAAGCATGATTGGATTTTATTAGATTGGACTTAAATATCTATGGGAGGAGATTTAAATTAAGAAATTAATTTAACCTCCAGGCGCATTGTGGGCCTATCAATAAAATAATCATGTGAGGCCCCAACGGATTAGCATGATTGGATTTTATTGGGCCTTAATAATTTCAAAATTTTAATAAAGTATTGTACGACCCATCGTCGATAATACTAAGTTATTAAAGATAATTTTGAAATTAAACAATGAATTCGACTGGGCTTATGAAAATTCTCAAACAAAAATGTTGAATGGGTGAAGGTTTTAAAAATTTATTAATTTTAAAACCTATGGGCTCCATTTGTGGGTTTATTAGTGAAATGGTTATCGCTGAAGCCCCATCGGATAAGGATAATCAGATTTCACTAGATTAAATCTTAATAATTTCAAAATTTTAGTAAAGTATTGTACGGCCCATCGTCGGCAATGCTTAGACACTAAGGATAATTTTGAAATTAAACAGTGGTTAATTACGTTCAACTTTGGTAAAATTGTTAACCCTCCCATCGAGGCTCTGGCAATGGCACTGAAGGCCCAAATAACAATTTTGGTTTTTACAAGTGACTTGCCCATCGTAAGCCTTGTAAAGATAAACTGAAAGATTGTTAACAATAAACAAGAGTAGTTATGAGAATCTACTTGCACTTCGTTTGTTTATTGCGTTATTTGTTTGTAATTGTGTGCTTTATATGTTTTTCAGAAAATATCTTAGAAATGATTTTGAGTCGAAAACCTCTAGATGGTACCAACTATGAATAAGTGAAAAACAAATCTTTGATATTGTTCTAAAACATGGAAGCTAAAATTTGTCCTGACAATGTGAGGGCCATAGCAACCTGCAGAGAATGCGTCTAAGGAAGCTAAGATGCATTTCTCAGATTGGGAAAGGGCAGAAATGGTAGTTCGCTGCTATATTATTGTCAGTCTTTCCAAATACTTGCAGAAGAAGTGTACATGATTAAGAGTGGAGTAAAAATGCTTCAGACTCTTAATGACATGTTTGCTGCGTCTAGCAGCTCTGCTAGACAGAATGCAGTCGGTGCAGGTTTTGCTAAGAGTCTTGTTAAATCCAAAGGGAAACCCAATGGTGGTAACAAGAACAAAATGACTTGGTTATCAGTTGTCAAACTAGTTGCTATGAAGAAGCTGCAAGGTAAGTTCTTCAAGTGCAGACTGAAGGGATACTGAAAGAAAAATTGCCCAGAGGTGATGAAAAGAACCTGACATGGGCATATCAAGGCCTGATCAGTGAATGAATTATTGATTCAGGAATCACTGATTATGTTTGTTACTCTTTGTAGTAGTTCAAACATGGCATACCTGTCAGCAATGGACATAGATATTTTAAGCTTGAAAATGGGAACTTTTGTCTGCATTTGCAGTAGGACAAGTTATTTATAAGACTATGGTTTTGGGTGACTGTTTATTTGTTCCAGATTTCAAGAGAAATTCAATTTTTGTTAGTTGTTTTGGTTAAAACATGGGTTGACAATGCAATTGATTCCTCAGTTACATTTCGAAGTTCATCTTCGTCTTGTTTGTTCTGGTACATTGTTTAAATAGTCTTTATTACCTATGTCCTATAACCTTTTTAAATTTGTTATGTTGAATGGAAATGATGATAAACAAGGATTTTCACCAAAGAAATAAAAGTTTCAAATGAAACATAACTTTGGCCTTTGTGATTGAGTCACATTATCTCAAGTAGAAAATATGTTTTAGTTAAAAGAGGGACTGGAAGTTCAATAATCTTTTAACTAACAGCTACATGTTAGTACTATTTGGAAGGTAAAGTGGCCTAGCAATCCTACAAGGGCCAATAAGGTTTGCGCAACTATTCAACTGGAACTGGTATATACTAAAGTATGTGGACCACTTAGTGTTCAGACCAGAAGAGGTGATGAGTACTTCATTATATGAATGTTTACTCTGGATTTGGACAGATGAACCAAGTGCGCTATAAGTCTAAAGCTTTTGGAAATTTCCAAGAGGTTTAGTCTGAGGCAGAAAAGCATGTAGGTGTTCAAATCAAAAACACTTTGGTCTGACTAAAGTGTTGGCTACCTGTCTGGTAGGTTCAGGCGTTACCTGATTTAAGAGGGGATAGTTTTTGTAACTGTCAACTCTAAGAACGCATTAGTTGAATAAAGTTGCAGTATGCAAAAATCAAACATTTTTAGACTTGGTGAAGATCATGTTCAGTTATTCATCTTTGCTAATGTTGTTCAAGGGAGATGCCTAAGAGAAGGAAATCTATCTTCTTAACTTGGTTCCGTCAAAGTTTGTTGTAAAGACACCTAAAGAATTATGGATGTTTTACCTATAAATACACAAGGTCTAGTGCAGTGCATTTCGTAGTGGGAGAGAACCTTGTTAACTCTCAAGTTGTCTCTTGTTGAGTGATATTGATCCTACTAGTTACGATAATGCACTAGAAGATGTTGTTGATCAAGTGTTGCTCAAGCTATGAACAATGAGATGAAATACTTGTATTTCAACTCCGTTCGGTCCTGAGTAGAGACACAAGAGGGGTAAAACTCACAAGGTGCATGTGGACATAAAAGGCAAAGAGAGGATGGACAGGAAGGTGAAAACCTTCAAAGCTAGCTTGGAGGCAATTTTTGCCAGACGCCATGCTTGAGTCTATCCAGATTCTCTTAGTTGCTATAAGTCTCAATTATGAGATTTCATTTTGGGAGTTGGATGTCAGGATATCTACATACAACAACCAAAAGGGTTTATAGCAAATGAGTAGGAACACACGGTATGCAAGTTGTGAAAGTCAATTTCATAGACTTAAGCAAGCATCCAGGTCTTGAAACATCAGTTTTGATCAGGTTATCAAAATTTTGATTTTGAGAGAACCTTGATGAATGATGTGTATTTGTATGTAAAGGATACAATGGAAGACAGTAGCTTTTCTGGGG